CCCGCCGGGCCGAGGTGGCGGGAGAGGCCTGCGGCCGTCCCGGCGCGCACCCCGGCCCAGCCCACGGCAATTCTGGCCGGCGTTTGTCCTCTCCCCGCGAGTCCCGCCGGGGAAGGGGAGGTGCCGAGCCTCCCGCAGCCTCGCCCCCTGCACCCGGGCTGCCTCCCGCCTCCTGCGCGCCCGCCGCGCCTTCCCTGCGGTCCCCCCACGTCCGTGCGGCGCCCCAGCCCGTGCCGGGACCCACGACGGCACTTGCAGTCCCCGCACGTAAGGAGCAGAGCCGGCTGGAGGAGGACAGGCCGTGTCGCCTTTCCGGGAGGAGCCCCGCGCACCCCGGAGGGCCAGCACCGCGGGTCGGAAGTGGAGGTGACAGCCTCTACCGCCTTTTGGGACTGAGCCCTCGGCCTGTGGGGTCGCCTCTCTTGGGGCAGTAATGTCAGGGTCGACTTAGAAGCACCAGCTGGTGTCCCCGAAGACGCTGCTATGGACTGGGTCTCTGGTGAGAAGTCCCCACTGTGTGACTGGAAGTCACAAAACTATTCTGTGGTTTGTGGAGTGAAGTAGGAAAACTACACTTTGGCAGAAGTCTGGGGCCTAACCGCCTGCTGGAGAGCAGACCTGAAGGCGTTGTGTCCCCCGTCGCCAGGCCGTGGGCTGGTGGCCACGGTGCCATGCAGTCAGGGCTGTCGGAGGCCCAGCAGGGCTGCGAGGGCGCCAGCACCGGGACAGAAACAAAAGACGACCAAGAGTTCCTTTTGTCAGCTATTTTTCCTTTTCCTTTTTTTAAGAGAGATTTTTGCTACAGGGCAGAGAGAGAGAGACAGAGAGACAGAGAGACAGAAAGCAAGAAATCACCCCCTGGGGGACAGCCGTGCTGCAGTCCCTTCTCCAGCCTCCCCTGGGAATTTTGGGCACGCACACCCCACTGAGTCCGTGACTCGGACCTCGGTCGGCCATGCGGGGACCTAGCGGCATAACCGTTAGCCATCTGCTTCTGGTGTTCTGCGTGGACTGCCACCCAGAGCCTCATGCTTTGAGACCAGGCACCCGTGTGCACATACAACCTAAAAGCTTCGCCGAGTTCCCTGTGCTCTGATTTCCTCTTCCCCTTTTAAAGTACTGCTGGGCAGGGCCCATTTCTTTTGAAGATGCACTAGTCTGGAACCGCAGTCTGGAACCTGCTGTAGGAGAGCAGGAATTCGTAGGCGGGGAAGCGGTGCGATGGCAGCAGCCACGAGTGTCCGCAAAAACGTCGCTGTGCCTGAGGGCGACGTCTCCTTAGGTAGTGCTCGGGTCAGACCCACCTAGACGTCCAGCGGGAAGGCAGTCACCTCGCTGTCACTGACACAGCCTCCTGGATGCCTAGGTCAGGGCCGGAAGACAGAGCATTCACCGTAGCAGTACACAAAGCAGGGAGAGCACGTGAGAACGCCAAAAGCAAACATGTTTAGTGTTTCATGGTTTATAAGATATTTTCACACATATGCTTTTATAAGAATTATTTTATTTAACTTTATATTTTTTAATTTGACCAGAGAGGGACAAGGTGAGAAAGAGAGAGGGGAAGTGAGAGCGCAAGCTGCCAGGTCTGGGACTCAAACCACGGCTGGCCACGTGGGGTCCAGCACCCTTACCCACCACGCCACCTGCTGGCCCCCTCACACAACGTCTTTAATCAGAACGAGCCTGGGGGAAGCGCAGTTCAGAGGTGGAGCCCTGCCCGGGCTCACACAGTAAGTGGCAGCGTTGGCCATGGGACCCTGACCCCCGCCCTGCCTGCTGGGACAGTACTGGGGAGGAGGTGACCAGGGCACGAGCTGCACTCGGACCCAGCAGTGTCTCCACCCCAGCCTTTCTCTAGAGGGAAAAGTGAACCTCACTGAGGGCCCCCCCAGATTCATGGGTTGAAGTTTGATTGTAACAGAATTAAGAGGGTAAAAACTTAATTTGACTCTTGTCGAAGGGTGGGGCCTCTGAGCAGAGACTAGGGTTAGTGGGGTCCCCATGGTTTAACCCTACTGTTTTCATACAGAGGGGCATGGGGGCGCCATACACACTGCACTGGCTCAAGCTCTGGCCACAATGCCTGCGCCCTCGGGCCTCTGCAGGGGGCTCCGCTAACAGGAAGACCCTCACCATGACCTGGACCTCCAGATGAGCTGAGTAACCCTCAGTTGTCACCCGTCTGCGATTCTGGAACCGAGCAACAGTGCGTGGCCTAGAGCTGGCCAGCACCGCAGAGCAGAGCGGGCGCCCACAGAGCAGAGCGAGCGCCCACAGAGCAGAGTGGGCACCCACAGAACAGCAGGTGCAGACAACGGCTGTGAGCAGAGACACTGAGCAGCCCCTGGTCACGCTGGGCTTTCAGACTCACGGGGGTCCTCCACACCTGCGGGTAGGAAGGAGGGGAGCTACTGCCTGCTCCTCAGCCCAGCCAGACCCAGAGCAGCACCCACAGAGCTCCCTCTCCGCCCATGCCGCAGGGCCAGTCCTGCCCCCTTCAAGCCTGGGACGTGGGCTCCTGCCAGGGGACGCTTTTGGGGTGGGAAGGTGGGGCTGGGGCTGGAGGCTGGGAGAGGGCGGCCTCCCACCCTGCCCCAGCTTTGGTCTCAGGCACTTCAGCCATGCCTGGGAGCACCTGAACTCCCCCTTCCCGTCCACCCCACAGTCACCTGGGGCTCCCCACAGTCACCCGGGGCCCCCCACAGTCACCCCGGTTCCCCCCCGGGTCACCTGGAGCCCCCACAGTCACCTGGGCCTCCCCGCAGTCCCCTGGGGCCCCACGCCCCACTCCCAGTCCCCCGGGTCCCTCCAGTCACCTGGGGCTTGCTCATAAGCTTTCTCAGCTCTGGCTATGGAGAGAAAGAACACAAGGGGGCAGGGGTGAGAGGAAGGTCCCGTCTCCCATCTCTCCCCCTCCATGAGCCTTTTCCCTGTGGTCTCCCCGTGTCTGGGATCTGCAGGCCCATGGGGGTGCAGTGGGGTGGGCCCTGGGCTGGGGGACAGGGCCCCCTCAGCAGCTGCCCCCAGGAACAGCCCTGTGGGCCGGTGGAGGGCCACTCCCGGGCGTCCCGCGCCTACCGGGAAGGTGCTTCTTCAGCATCACAGCACCGGCCACCAGGAGCACCGCGGCCAGGACGGCGGCCACAGCACCGGCAAGGGCTCCGTGGCCAGAGGGCGATTCTGTGGGAGGCAGACGGGCACCCCACACCATGGGGCCAGCTCCAGGGTCCGGGGCCCCTGCCCCCGCCCTGCCCAGCCCTGCTCCTCACCCCAGGCCACGGCGAGTGTGTGGTTGAGGCTGGCGTGTTGCACGTGGCAGGCGTAGGCGGCCTCCTCACCCG